ATCAGAAGAGATTTTTTTTATATCTATGGATGTATGTGTGTATGTGTCATTTTAACCATATCCACAATGATGATTGATTTTATTCATTATATCGCAAACAAAAGCTATGATGAATTGATTTTTTTCGAATTGTTATCATTTTTTTGCATTTCAAAAGAAAGTTAATCGTTTTCAATTTCATTCACGAAGTTTATCCAATTGAACTGTATTCCCTACTGAATTGATAAAACGGATAATGGGGAAGAAAAAAGACATTTCAGATTTAAAAATGATTTTATAATTTTCGACATTTTAAATGAATCAATCAATTTATGAGCGCAATTACGTTTTTTGGCAACATTTTTTCCGTCATCATGGTCAATCAAACTCAAATATTGTATCATATGGTTTGTGGTTTGAGGTACATTTTATGATATTAATTTTTTTTCCCTTTCGCTGTTGGAAATTTTGCTTAATGATTTATGCAAAGCATGAAATTGCACCGATTAGTTGAAAATAGCACAAATTACAAAATAAAAAGTGAAATTCCACCGAGAAACAGAGACGAACTTGGAGTGAAACATTACCGATTGATGATCGTATGACACATACTGCAAAAATAACAATGTCAAACTAGTTTAAAATGAACTAGACGCACAAGCGTCTACACTGTGGCCCAATGACGGTAATTGCGGGAGCCACGAAAAAAACATCCATCGAATTAAATAGGCAAAAAATAACAACCATCTGAAACTAAATGGTGCGCATAAATTGTGCGCTTAGTTGAAAACAATAAACGCTTTTGTTTGGACAAACAAAGTTTTTGCGACGAAAAAGGAGTAAAAAACAGCTTGGCGTCATAGTTTTAAAGAATGAAATTTGTAATTTGGACGTAAATATTTAACATCTTCTCGTTGATTGCTAATAAGTTTAAACAAAAAAAAAATTAAATGTTTCTAAATACGGTTGTTAAGCATCACTAATCATTCGAACCTATAACTAAACGGCTTCAGATAGGTGATATCAGCGAATTCAATGGAAAGTGCATACTTTTAAATTCCTCTTGAAAACAATGTTGTTATTACGGAATATTGAAGCTATCTGTTGTGTGTCGTGCAGTTTCTACGTTTCTCTCTCTCTCTCTCTCTCTCTCTCTCTCTCTCGTGACGAAGTAATTCTTGTGCTTCACGTGAGTGACACATTGGTGACATGGGTGACAGGCGAAAAGACAGCCACAAGATTCAATCCCAATCAAAATCGAATTAAATTCTCGCAAAGAAAAAAAACCAGCGACACAAAGATGACACACCGACAAGATGTTGATTGAAATAACAATGCATCGGAATTTGATCGATTCACCGAGACCGTTATCTATGGTGATCGAGTGGCCGCAATTTGACGATTGATTTTGAAGGGGGAAACCATTGAAAAACGAAACAAAAACACAATTTCACTTCGATGTCACCTGATTGAACAATGCGAATGCGATGTTATGGTGCAGTTACGGCAAAAATTTAATCATAATCGATGTTCATTGATAATTGTGATAATCATATATATTGAATCATTTTATTGGCATGTGTGCACGTCAATTAAAGAAGAGAGAAGAGCAAAAATTGACGCAAAAAAACAGAAACATTCAATCACAGCCGGCGATAGTAGGCGCGAGTGACGAAAGCACCTCTGTGCTGAAAGTCGAACTCGCCTATATATACACGCAATTTCGAACTTTTTTTGTATCTGGCCATCTGGTATGAATGAAGTATCGCTAGAAAGCCCCTGGCTCATAGGCCCAGAAAATGCATTCAAACTTGGGAATCGACCAACCGCCTCCATAGAAATAGCCACTTGAAAATTATGTACAATTATCAGTTTTTCCCATTTACCGGGTGTTAAACGCGGCCCGTTCATCTTGAAACATGTTTTTTCTGAGTCTACTTGTCGAGACCTTTCCAACAAGCTCAAAAACGTCGAAATTGGACCATCCGTTCATGATATGTTATTTCATCGAAACAAAATGTAATTTCATCTGTCTGTCCAAAAACCAAATTTTTTTCGACGAAAAAAAAAAATTTTTTCCTCTGGTGTGCGACTCGAACTCGAGTACACACGCTTATAAGTCTGCTTTCCTACCTACGCGCTGATTTTGCTTTATTCAAAATGGCGACAATGCTGGTTTTTAATTACAACATTCATGTTTCGTTTTCTTTGACTCAATACACACCATTTTGTGTTTGTTGGTTTTGTTGAGAAAAAAAAAAAATTCGGGTACAAAACAACTGATATCAAATAAAAAAAACTTCTTTCGAAATAATTCCTCGTGACGAAAGCGAACACAAAACAGCTGATATCAATTTTAAAAAATCATTACGGAGCGATTCAAAAATTAGTTGAAAGAATGCAAAAAAGCAAATCCAAATCGCTCCGAAATGTTTTTTTTTAAATTGATATCAGCTGTTTTGTGTTCGCTTTCGTCACGAGGAATTATTTCGAAAGAAGTTTTTTTATTTGATTACTACATACAAAAAAAGAAGCGATGTATAGTTGGAGTTGTATCGAACGAATTGATATGTATTACATCTACTCATTACACACAATGTTAATGAACGATAGAATGCAAATAAAACAAAAGCAGCAAAGGCACACGGGGCAACGGAGAAGAGACGAAAAACAAGACAACCGAAAAGTACGAAATCCCACTCAATGAAAATTCCAACTGCAAAACAATCAAATACCGTGTACGACTGAGAGAGTGTGAGCGTCACGTTTGTGTGCTGCCTCTCTCTGTGTATGCAAGAGAGATCTTGTGTTAACTTTGGAGGATCGTCCTCTCTCACTCCGGCCACTGGTGTGTTCAATTTCATTTTCGCTTTGCAGGCAACGTGTGTTTTCTCAGTAGCGCAGCCTGGAGCTCGCACAAACACACACACATACATTGAGATTAGATTCACTCATCATACACACCGACCCACCGACCCAACCACACACAACACTTTCACAAAAAAAAACCGTGGGGAAATAAATTATTTTACACAAAAGAAAAAGAAGAAGAAAAAGAATCAAATCCGAATTGAATTCGTGTTTTATATACTCAATGCTCTCCGTTGTTTTTTTTTATTTTTGTTTTTTTGTTATTATTTAAAGCCCGTCGTGTGTAACGTTTAGTTTGAAATTAAACCGTTTTGCAGATAGTTCGAAGTTCTCTATTCGCGAAGCGAGTGCATTCGATTGGTAGATCGCAAGGAACGCGGACACAATGAAATTAACCGATCCAATTAGTACGGCCGGTGGTGTTGTTGGCGGTGAGTTTGAGTTTGAAAAAATAAAACAAGAGAAAAACTAAAACGCAAAAAGCAACAAAATCAGAGATGGAAAAACAAGTTTGAGAAAAAATGAGCACATATAAAGTAGGGGCGAGAATTATTTTTCCTCGTTTTTTTTTTGTGTGTGTGTGTGTGTATGTGTTTTTGACGAAAAACTCGAAACTGTTGTTATTGTGAGTGAAAAGAGATACAAAAAAGGGTTTTTAAACTGAAAGTAAATAAATTTAATGGAGAGAATTTTGTGTTGTTCTCAACCGAAATGAATGGAAGAGATTATTTGTTCGCGAAATAGAAGCGGAAAATAGGAAAGGGTCGTATTTATCTGAACACAAAATTCTTCATTCTTTAAATACAGCAAGAGTTTTTCTCTCTCTCTCTCTCTCTATCTCATTTTTTCTTGGTTATTTTACCCGTGCACTTTGAACGCATTTTTTTCGACGAAAGATTTACATTAATTGATACTAAAATATGTTCAAGTTAAGGTCGCGGTCGCTATTTTCCTTCTCGGAAATTTCGGTTCGTTCGAAAGAAAACAAAAATACCATCCCAACAGATCCGGGCTAAACTTTTTTTTTCTCCCATTCATCCTCAGCGTCGAGCGCATTTTACAGCTACCCCAAAAGTGTTGAAATTTAAGAAGTTCGACATAGTTAAATGAAAATGAAAAAAATTCGACTGAACAAGAAAAAAAAAATTATTTCATTAATATTATAAAGAAAATGATTATTGTGAGAAATTTGCAATGTGTTTTGTTTCGATGTCATTCAAAGACAAATGACAGACCCCGAAAAAAAGAATTTTCGACTTAACTTCCATTCTGATCAGAGAGAACATTGTCAACACGCGCACACATAAAAGACAGTGAAAAAAAGCGACACAACTCACTTTGAAAGTGGGTTAAATATGCACAACATTCTATCGGTCAATTTTGCAAAAGTATATATGGCAACCATAGGAGTAACCCACAACGAACCGAAAGCTAGAGCCACAGCTCTAGAGAAGCGCTTCAGAGCAACAGAAAATAAAAATAAAATAAAATTCCCACAGTGAAGTGAATCGAATCAATGAACTGAAGAAACCTTTGAAATGAACAAGCAATAAAATCAAATGTTCTCCATTTTCAAAGTACAACAATCATGAATGGATAATAACGGCATATGTATACACATTATGTGTGCATTGTGTTCAGCTGCTCTCGAGAATAAATATACTCGACTATTTTTTTTTTCCATTCTCGTTCCGTTAATGCTGTGCATTTTTTTTTGTGTCGATAAAAGGTATTTTATGCGAATTTCAGTATCCGGTAAGCATTTGAGTTACGCGTGCTGTTTGTGTGTGGCTATGCTAAAAATAAAACGTTCAAATCTTTGCACAATTGGAAAACATTTTCGTCTTTGATTCTCGTTTTTGTTTATCTTGTTAAAAGAAACATAATCGCCTAATAGCAAATTTTTGGATCATTTATTTTGATTGATTTGCCGTTATTTCGAGACAAACAAAAATTGAGCATCAACAAAGACGAAGAAGACACACACAAAAAACGCCTGCATGTTGAGCGAAGAGTATTGGCACACATGACATTTTTAACATTTGGAGTGCGCGTAGTTTTCTGCTGAATTGCTGAATAAAATACTATACACGCACGTACACACCGACAGCACACAGTGTGCGTTGCTTGTCAAAAACGACAGCTGTGTGTGCGTGTTTATGTTATGTGTACTTTCTTTAGTTTGACAACAAAGGAAGATAATGATAGACGGAGCGTGATTACAAAGGAAAAAAAACAATCTAAACACTAAAAACGGCATTGGGTAGAATAATGCATTTAGCCTGGCTAATGCAATATTTACCATGTCATTCAAATGAGCACACACGCGCCATCCAAGTGTGTTTTTGTTTTCCTTGTTTTTTTTTTGTGCATTGTAATTTTCCGTAATTCCGTTGTCGTTTCTGTCACACATTGCATTCGACTTATCAATGTAACGAACTATAAAATAGAGAAGCGTTCAACCAAATCGTGCCAAAACGTCTTCGTAAACATCTGTTCTGTGTTTGTAATCAGTGAAAAATTGTTCGACAACTTACCGAAAACAAAACATTATTGTAACAAATTAACTAAAATTGAATCGGTTTTGAAACATCAGCGAAAAAGAATAATAATAATAGAAAGAATTGCAAAGTTTTGACAAAAGAAAAAAAAAACAACAAACTTAATTACAAAGTCTTTGTTCCATTTAATAGCAATTCGATAAATGGGCGTCATTTATTCGGTCGTTTTGACTGAACAAATAAGTCAAAAAGAGCCGGAACAAAAGAACCAAATTTATGGATTTGCAATTTAAATTGATCGCGCTTGGTTGAATTTGTGCTGATTGTCGTTTTATTTCGGTGTGCGCTCTCTGCTCTCTTCCTCTTCCTCTCTCTCTCTCTCTCTCTCTCTCGCGGATACATACTCTCTGTGCGAAAATACTCTCTGACACAAACACACAATGTTTCCTTCGACATCATCCGAGGAGACGGAATCATTGCTGCCGTCGACATCGCGACCACATGATTATCAATCGATTGGTGAACCCGTGGCTCAATGTTTGTGTTAAATTTGTGATATTATCTATGCAAAAATGCACGCAATTAATTTTTCAACCATGATAACATTTCATATGAAAGCGAAACAAACAGAAGAAGACAAAGAACGAAACGAAAAAAAAAACGAAAAAAAACAAAACACAATTTTTTTTCGTTATTTTGCAAAGAAACAACGAAAAAAATTGAAAGTAATAAAAAATAATATTGAAAAAATGGATGGAAATTAATTATGTATTGTGTGCAAATGATTTCTTTGCGTCTAAATGCACGTATTTCACATTCAATTCACACATTGAAAATTGCGCAAGTTTTATGAATGTCTGAATATTTAAACGAAATTTCACACTTAATCTTCTTCTTCTCCTTTTTATTTCTGTATTTAAACCGATTTTTCCGTATTGAATTTTTATCTCTGGGTGTGTTTCTATCTGTTTCATGTGTGTCGAACTGTCTAATTTGTAGCGACCCGCATTTTTGGTGTGCGGCATTTGCAGGCGTTTTTACTGTTTCTGGGACTGACATTGGCATATGGGATGCGCGTTAATCTGTCGGTGGCAATTGTTGCCATTACCGATAAACATGCCGCCAATCCGGAATTCGAGGTGAATATTTTAGCATTAAATGCGGGCGACAGAGTGAGAAGGGAACAGTCAGTGTCATGAATAATTTTCGAATTTTATATGAAATCATGATGAAACAGGACCATAACTGGGATGAGAAGACCAGAGCATTAGTTTTGAGCAGTTTCTTTTGGGGCTACGTGATAACACAGGTACATTTGTTCTGCATTTGATAGTAACTTGTATTAAATTGTTTACTTAAATCTAGTTACAGCGATATGCTTATATTTTAGCGTTAATGACCTTTCAGGCCTTAAACGTCCCTACTTTAACTGTGCATTGTTGTTTGCATAATTATTGAAATAGAATTATTCTTACTTTCACAGGTACCTGCCGGCCAATTGGCCCAACGAATCGGAGCTAAACGAATTTTATTGTGGTCAATGCTTTTATGTTCAGCACTTACAATGCTCACACCACTCAGCATTGCATATGGTGGATGGCAGGTAAAAGCATACTCTCACTCACTCATTCACTCAAAATCATCACCGTTGCTATTTCTGCTGCTGCTGCTACTGCTGCAGCATAATGGACGCATTGGCCAGAGCCCATCCGAAAAATGTGCCATTAATGTGCATCGCGTTAATCTTTTAATGCACTTATGTGTGTATGCGATATGAATGACGATTATTGCACTTTAGTGTCAGATCCGACACTGGTGTGACATTATTAAATGAATAAATAATGAGTTGTCGCGCGCCATACTTCACCTGTAACCAACTGTGCCAAATCATTTTTCAATCAATTTCACAAAATTTGCAATCGTTTTTAATTTCATTTGTTCGCATTTGATGGGAACCGTTGTTTAATCCATTTTAGCTATTGTGCGCATTACGTTTAATCGAGGGACTTTGTCAGGGTGTTATTTTCCCATCGACACATACGCTACTCTCAAAATGGGCACCGGTATCGGAACGCGCTCAGTTGGCAACATACTGTTATTCCGGCTCACAGGTTTGTACTATTTTGCTTGCCGACCAATTATTCTATTTATTTTCAATTAAAATTTGGTTAGAATAAAATAAAATAAATTTTGATTTTTATTTCAGTTCGGAACGGTGGTGATGCTTTCAACTAGTGGCATTTTGGCATCTTCATTTATGGGATGGCCAAGTATTTTCTACATTTCTGGATTAGCGTCGGGACTTTGGGCAATTTTATGGCTATTTTTCGGCAGCAATTCACCGGCAGACTATAAATACATTTCGGCTGAAGAGCGTGATTTTATCCAAACATCGTTGGGTCACACCGAAGTGGATCCAGAGCATGATGAAAAGAAGCATCGCAAAACACCATGGGGTGATATTTTCAAATCGATGCCATTCTATGCATTGGCCATTGCGCATTGTGCACACAATTGGGGATTCTGGACGTTGCTCACTGAAATGCCGTCATACATGAAAGGCGTTCTCAAGTTTGACATTAAAAAGGTAAACAAAAACCAAAATTTGGGTCACATTTACATTTTAAATGTGTCAATCTCACTATCGTATGGCATATGGCATAGTAATCAAAATCGATTACACATCAACTATCATCATATTTTTATGTATTCTTCTTTTTCTGTATGCCCTTCGACTACTATTTTGCACAGAACGCGTTGTTATCAGCACTGCCTTATCTAGCAATGTTGCTGCTCAGCTACTTCTTTAGTTTCTTATCGGGTATTCTGGAGCGAAGAAATTGCGTCCCACTCAAATACAGTCGCAAAGTGTTCAACACTATCGGTAAATTGATTTATGGATGTTTATCCGTAATTAGTGAAAAACAAATCATCGTGAAAAAAAATATCGTGCTAATGATGATTCATTGTTTTTTCTAGGACATTGGATTCCAATGTGCGCACTCGTTGCACTTGGCTATGTGACGGCATCGGAAAAAGATTTGGCCATTTTCTTGTTGGTCGTCGCCGTTGGAATCAATAGCTCCACTTACTTAGGATTTCAGGTGAGCATTCATTTGTGTCCATCCTTAAAGTAATAATCATTTTCACATTTCGAACTATGACACAGGATGGTTTTATAAACACACATGGCATACCATTTTAAATCAACATTTTATCTCATTTTTCAGGTTAACCACATTGACATTGCTCCGAACTTTGCCGGCACTTTGATGGGTATACTACAAATGCATATTGATTCTCGTGCGACTATACTCAAACTAATGAATTTTCGCATTTAATAATTAGGCTTAACAAATGCAGCTGCCAATGTGATGTCAATCATTGCCCCGTTGCTGGTGGGTTTCATTGTAAAAGACGACACGGATCCAGGTGAATGGCGTTCAGTATTCTGGATCTCGGCCGGTGTTTATTTCTTTGGAAATTTAATGTTTATCCTGTTCAGTTCCACGGAAATTCAAGTGTGGAACGACCCAGAACATCGTGATAGACGTATGTTTCGATTTAAAATTCAATTTCTTTCCTTTGATACACTCAATCGATGCATTTCAATCGAACGAAGACGTATATACATGGATATAGAACGTTATGATTCGATTTTGCATAAATTTTTGGCTCGAAATAAATAAGCTCATCTGTTCTTTCTCTCTCTCTCTCGTTCTCTCTCTCTCTTTCATTTTCTGCACAGAAATCCAAGCCAACAAACATCGACGAAGAAGCAGTTGCTTGGAAGCGCAAGGCGGATTTTAAAAAGCAAATCAGTCACATGGAATTTATTCTGATCTAGCAATGATACTGTGTATCTTATTGTGTCATCATTTTATTTTCGCTTTTTTCTCGGTTTTGTGTCTGTGTTAAAGTATTTCTCTCTCTCTAATGTTCATTTCTTTTTGTTTCTTTTTCTCTAATTTAATTGTAAATGTCGTTTTGGATGAGTATGGATGCGTGCACGCGAGTGTTGACGTATGGTTTTGTAGAAATGTCGCGCCAAGAAACAAGAAAAAACGAAAACAAAACAAAATAACATGATTTTAGTGTGAAGAGAGAAAGACACAATATTTTTTTGAAAGCGCCATCGGCATTAAAAAAAAAAACAACAGAAACAGCAACAACAACAACAACAAATCACAACGCGTTCAGGTTTTGTGCGCAATTTTACGTATTTATGCTAACGCAGTATTATATATTCGATTGATGATTTTGATGAATGGATTTTCCATCATCTGAACTAAAGTACAATATTGAAGTGAATTCAATTGTATATAAATGCTTTACAATTTATTATTTTTATTTGTATATATGTATATCGAAAAATGTATTGGAGAACAAAATAGCAATTTGTAATGTGTATTGGCAACTTATTTTTTTTTCATAAATAGTCCCGAAATGGGTGAGTGTGAATGCATTGGAAGGGTCAGACATTAATTTGGTGATCAAACACCGAATGCCGTGAGGCTCACACACTTTGCCACACTCATCCATAAACGATTCTAGTTACTCTGAATACAAAAAAAAAACAGTCGTTTAATTATAAATAATTACTGCAGCCAAAAACAATCGTGAGGTAAAACATTCCATAGATATTTTACACTATCTCCGGTTGTATGAAAATGACTCAAGTCGATTCCTTTTTCTATGATAAATATTGTACATTTATTTAAACTTATAAATAAATACAAACTAAATAGATTTTGAATATCTTGCACGACTTTTTATTCTCAACCTATTTTTCACGGAATTCTACTCAACTTTTCTGTACACTCGAATCGATTTCTATTTTTCTCGCCGCTTTTTCTTTTTTCCTTATTCCTTTTTTTCCTTCCTTTCCAAAGAAAAATTGTCGATTGAAAAATAAACGATTCCAAGGAGAGATTGTCTGCACCGAGTAAAGTTGCCCATAACAATGTGCTCCCGTTGTGTGTGTGTACATTTGAAAAGATTTGTTCCGCCCGAGTTTGGAAACTCCGTTGTGAATTTAGCATAATAATGGTGAGAGAGAATTCCACTGAATTATGCAGATGTGATGCTGTTTCATTGCATAAAATAGCTGAAGTTAAGTTGATGTTATCCTCTTAGCCTCTTAACAGAGCGAACCCATTGAGAGCCAGGCAACGAAGGAGTGAGCGAGCGAATGCGATAGTGTTGGCGCTTTGTTGCAGTCAATGTAAGACCATTCGTAACAGGACTTTTCATTTTTAATCACTTGAGTGTATGCTATGTGTACAGTGTACGCATACAAACTGAGAGAGAGGGGGAGTTTGTATGGCGCAAAACTTTTTGCAACGATTTACATTTTGAATGGCCAGAGTCCGGGATTAATATTGGAGAAATAATAAAATTGTGTGCGAACAGGACGCGCCCGTCGACATGCACACTTGACTCGGACTGGTGTTGTTGACTTGGAAATAAACATATGCATTCATTGTGGGGGGAGACCAATAAATGCATACGGAATCAACAGCAGCATCGACCGCTTCCTTGTTTTCAACTTTGCAAATAAATTAACGATTCAATAGAGCCCGAATTTATTCAATATATAATTTCATAATGCTCATGCTCTGTTTTCCACACTTTTATGTAGAATTTGTGCACTCAAATCTATCATGTGCGAGTCAAGTTTGGCCGTTGTTTTTGAGCGGAAACAAGTCTCAAGGAGGGATTTACACCAATTTTGATAATAATAGCATGCAGGACATCCACTTTCAAATGGATGCTAATAGCTTCCAGCGATACCAAGTAAACTAGACAACTCATTACAATATATTTGCTCTCGGTTCAACATGGGCAAAAAAAAGTTGTGCGTTCGCTTGATGGTTGGCCTGCATGAGGAAGAAAAAAACATCCAAACAGCAATCGATTATATATGATAAAGCATACAGTGTATGTCATACACGCACACATACCCCAGAAGCAATAAGCCAAACTCCACCAAAAAAAGGATACACTTTCATTTTATGAATAATTCCAGCACATGAACCAGCAACATGAATGAATTTTAAGCCTCCCCACACCTCTCCTCCGCCGAAATGATTTTAATTATTTTATGTTTTCTTCATGTAAATGTATGATAAAAACAAACAACGGGATTATTTTGTCAACGGAACACAAACATAAATTTAGATTTTCAATTCAGAGTGATTCGGAGTAAATACATGTTAATTTGCAAATCTAACTCAAAGCAAAGTGTTCTATGCGGGGAAAAAAACATAAATATTTCCAACAAAAATAGCGAAAATTTATCATTCGTGAGCTGATTATTAGAATTTAACTCGTTTGGTCTTCGTGGATTTTTTGCAGTGACTTCATTTTTGGACAGAGATGGCAAAAACGTTGTGGGTTTTTAGTGTAAAACCGACCGTTTTTCCATTTAAACTTTCCCAGAATTCCTGGATTTTCACACGATATCGGAACCATTCAGAATTGTGCCCAATTTGAAATGTATTTCCATTGAACGACATAGTAAACCTACAGATTTCAGTGCAGAACCGAGAAATACCAAAAAAATAACATCAGAAGAGAATATATGAAGGAAGAAGAGAACACAATTGACATAAAATAGAGTGTTACTTTTTACATCTAAGAAAGAATATGTTCAAAATGGCGTGGATAAAGGGCAGCATCAGAAGAGGTAGAAAATTCATTATCAAATCAATTGAACTATTAACGCATAATGCACAGTGCACACACCAACTGATTGAATGCAATAACCTAAATTCCAGAAAGATACCTTGATAATCAATAATTTTCCATGTAAATTTCTCAACAGAAACCACAGGAAAAAAAATCGGCTGATGTTCTGTTAAAAATAGTTGAATTAATATGTTCAATTTCTATTGTGAGAAAATTCGCTCTAAACCGGCTAATTGAATCGCATGCAAAAATGCAACTATTTTTGTTCTAGTCGGAAATGTAAACAGTGTTGACCTGATAATAATGAAATAACAGAGTGAGAAGAAGAGAAGAGAAACAAAAAAAAAAGACTACACGCAGAAAATGTGTTCAGGAGAATCGATCTAATTGCAAATTCGCTATTAAAAATGCAAGCGTCGTATGACGTACTTGAAAGTTCAACCGTAGCTTGGTGAGAACCAAGCGAGATTATGCGATTGAATAATCAAAAATGCTTTTGCCGAGAGTGGTTCAGTGCGTCAATGCGATTCAAAGTGAATCGATGTCGTTTTTTGGTTGTTGTTGCAGTGTTCCGGATGATTGAGTAATCAACATAAATCATGACAAACGGAGAATTTAACGGTGCAAAAATTCAAAGTGTTTATGTTTGATACAGGTACAGCAGCCAAAGTGAGTGTTTATTTGTTGAAGTGCGCGCGTCACACAAAGAAAAAAATGTAACTTAATTTGAAAAATCAACACGAGATTTACCGTTTTTTCTAGTTCAATTACTAAACGGATGCTTTTGATCGCAATTGATTGGATTGTTGCAGAATCGCGTGCTTTTCACACTTATTACCTACAATTTTTTCTTTCGTTATCTTCATTTTTCGTTTGTAAATGTTTGCGCTAGCACACACACCACACACACACACCACACACACACACGCACAAAACTTAGTATTTATTTTGCTCGCTTTGCTCAATCGTTTTCCACGTGACGATTTGCGCGGATTAAGTAAACAGCACGTAAAATTGTTTCTTTTCGTCGTCGTCTTCTCCTGTTTCTGTTCCCCCAATTTTCTCTCTCTCTCTCAATGCCACACCATGCTGTGCATTGCATAGATAACAACATCATTTAGTTGTTACGTTCACGCTCTTTTCATCAGAAAAATCTTCTTTCCCTTCTTCTATTTTGCGTTTATTTACAGTAACCATCTGCTTTTTTTCGTAGAGTTGTTCTCATACTGATTGAAAAGTAACTAAAGACGATATTAATAGACGTAAACGGAAAGTGGACGATAAAAGTGAAAAAGCAGCAGAAATAACAACAATAACAACTTAAAACGCCAATAGTGCACAGCAATGATTTCGAAAATCGGTAACACAAATTGTGTTTCATCCCATTCCTGATAGAGTCTGTACACGAGTTAACATTTAAATGAATGGTTTAGAGCGAAAATGTTATACAAAAATGTGATATGAAAAGGGATAGCTATATAGTTCACTATATAGCTATCCCTTTTCCGCTCATTCATCATCGACATTTTTCCGCTCAACTTTTCTGTATTACATTTTCGTACATTCGTCCCGTTTCCTTCGTTCGTTTTCTTATGTCAGCCCGATTCGTTAATAATTCTTGATTCGTTCTTTTTAGCACTACATGGAATGTAGGCTACTGTAGTTGTTATTTTTTTCCCAAGAAAATTTTAAGAGTCTTTAGGCCATTTTTTGAACCGTAAATTGATTCAATTTAATATCCATATTTTTTATTTGAAATGAAGCAATTACGCCTAATTGCAAAAATGAAATAAAATCATGTTCTTGTAATAATGTACGATGATCATTCACATTGAATGTACATAAAACACATAAGTGAAGAATACAATATCATCATATAAATTTATTTAATTATTTTTGACAATATTAAAATGATTTGCATACTACATTCCATGTAGTGCTTACGATAATAATTTGATGAGAAACATCAAATTAATTAAACCTCTTTAAATTTACAAGCGCAGAGCGCAGCGAAGCGACGATCTGCGGTCTTGTTTCTTTTTGTATCGTTTTCCTGTTATACATCTGTTTATACACGGTTCAAGCGGTTCGATATGACGAAACGATGACATTGGCATTGAACTACAGAATGCAGTCACATTTCAAAATATCCAACACACAAATCTTGAAACATCAATCTCGGTGCTGATACAGTTTTTATTAATAGTAATCGATTTGTTCCAAGTGCTGCAAATACCCAATATATATTATACGCAATATAATATTAATTATAATAATAATAATGTCGTAATTTATGCTAGACACAACATACACACCACACCACAAGTGAAAAGAGTGAGAAGAAGAAGAAAAAAATACGTAAACACAAACGCATGAATCTTGGAATGCGTGTGCTGCATGTGGCAAACCAGAAAAAAAAGAAATAAGAAACATTGTATAGAAATGCACTGAAAAGTTAGTGAGTGTGAATGGTTACGGCCACTGCAGCATGGAATGATTTAATATGCGATTGTTTTGTTTTACTTAGCTTTTTTTTCGCTCACTTCATTCTCCGCTCAAAAGAAATCGACGAAAAAAGAATTCGCATGGAACAAGCGCATTCGGACTGCACCACCAGCAGCAGCCACAACAGAAGCAGTTGTAATGATCCGACGATTGGGAAGAAATCCGTAGCATTTTCCATTTTCGACCCGATTAACAGATTTAGTGCTTACTCGATCAACGCAGTGTGAACAACGGAGAAAAATTCCAGAGTGCGTTTCAGTGCAAAAAGGGAGATAATAACAATAATGATAATAGAAACAATGTGTTCGTGTTCGGTGTGAACAGAAAAAAAAACAAATTGTTTATATTTTAAAACGAACTTGGTGCCGTCAAATTTCAAGGTGACTTCATTGAAAAGCAAAAATTTAATCAAATCAATTGAGGTGAAGAGATACAATATAATTTCCAGTCAAGGTTGAATAATCGAAACCGATCGGAATTTTTTCGGTAAAAATGCCGGCTTGTAATAATGCCAACCATAAATTGTAACTCACCAGTTAACATTGATGCAATATTTAACATTTTTCTAACACACGACACGAAGAGAATATTTGTGAAATGTTTCTTCTTCCAAATTCTATGTGAGTGTGAGCTTAAAATCCTGTGATTATTCTGCTTTATGGCGAAAGCAATTTTAGATAGCAAACGAATTGTATCGTTCGATAAGACGATGCTATAATTTGAAACGATTGAAAAGATGGGAATATTCGATTTGACATTGTTCAAAGTGTATTTTGTCAATAACTTTTTTTTATCTGTCAACCTAATTGAATTGGTGAACAATAGTCAAAACCCATTAACCCTAGGACCGGAACATGCGAAAAATCCTTAGGTCCGGACCATGGGGTGTACAGTGCCCGACGTGTATTTTATATGGGAAATAGCATTTTTGCTGCAAAATTCAAACGCACAACTGAATAACTTCGCGATTTTTTAATTTTTTTTTTTTATTTTTGGTTTATTTACGTAGAAGAATATCTGAAATTATGAATTTAGAAAATTTTTTGATGATTTTGAAAATTTCGTTGAACAAAAAATTAAATTGAATGGGATGACAAATGCAAATTTACATATATATACAATGAGATGTGATGAGAAACAGCAAAAGAAGAGAGAAAGTGAGTAGAAATCGGTTTTCCATACAAATTGTATGGAGTCGGGCACTGTACACCCCATGGTCCGCTTTACACACATGTGTTGCCGAGTCGCGTATGTTACACATATTCATACATATACATGTTTGGTGTAGCATGTAGCCAAAGGATCAAGCTATCGAATGGTACTCGAAGAAATACGAAATTTTTAGTTGGAAGCAATTTGATTTACATTTGAAAACGAGCTCGGGTGCTGTACACCCATGGTCCGGTCCTAGGGTTAATTTAATCCAATAATAATTGAGTTGCATTTGTTTCAATAACTCTATTCAAAACACTGATATTCGATTTAATCAGTTAGCTGCAAACACACATTTAATCATCACATTCTTATATTGTTTTCTCATTGAAAAATTGTCGCAATAAATAGTAACCAACTGGCCGAAGGAAAAACACTGGCCGAAGGAAAAACCTAAACCTGATGGAATATGCTCTTGTAATTAATTAAAATGACTATTTATGTGTGGCTTGAGGTGTTTCCCATTGAAAATGCCAATTAGTGCTGTTTGCGCAATGGAGAAAATAGTACACAATCGAACACTCATTATGAATTGAGTATTTTCTCGAGTGTCCGCTTCATGGATGAGAAATACTTTTTTTCCCCACCAATTTCGTTAATTGAATACCGAAAAAAATGGAAGAAAACGAAGTCGATAAAGTGTAATTGCGCGATTAAACAGGAAAATGAAATCGATTACAGAGGAAGAGAGGGAAGCACCACGCGCCATTCAAAATGTTGACCCAGAATGAAAGCAAAAATGAGTGAAATGAAACAAAATGAATCTTTATAGAAAAATAATTCCATAAAATACTTGTGTGAATGGGCTTATCGCCAGCCATGTCACAGCCGAGTGACACACAAAATCGATTATTTCGCGTACGACCAACGCATTTATCAACACCATGAATTGCATTTGAATGAAACGAAACGCAGAAAGAACGCAGCAAAAATCAGCATACAAAGTGCCTGAAATTGTGCGTCGTAGAGACCAGAGAAGCAAAAAAGGCCACTGGAAAGTTTTTGGTGTAATCTGATACGTGAACTTGCACTATAAAATCCATAAATAAGTGCATGAACGCGCGCGCGTTGATAAGTGACAAGCAAATAGCAAAACTATCAATCAAATTGCGAGCAAAAAACAACAAAAAAGACGACTGCAGTGTATGAGCTGGCGGCTGTATGACGTTGTGATTATGTTACGATTTCAAAAACATTGAACTAATCAATATGTTGCTATTTTCAGAGGAAAGAAACCTTCTCTGTTTTTTTTTTAATACCCAAATCAAAAACAAAATTCTGAAACTTGATTTGCTTCAGTCCGTTGTATTTGTCATTTCATTTCCGCACTGCTCATGCGATGATTTGTGCGCTACGATGTGGGCTCTGTTGGCCCATTAAACTGTTGGCATTTGCATTGATTATAAACGAAATTTTGTGTGCATGATAAGGAAGCACATTAGACTGGTCCAAAAAAAAAAATTGGTCGCAAAAAAAAGTGCCGTCCAGTTTCGAAAAATATACCTCAAAAAAATAGGTTTGGCCCAAAAAAACCATATGGGTACCATATAAAATTCCGTGCCAAGTCGCATATCAAAATTTTCATGACAGCGATTTCGGAAGCCATTTTAGATCGCAACATTTCGACCAAAATAATTTTTCCAGGCAATTTTCGGCAGAAACTGTTGATGAAGTTTTGTTTGGCTCGTCAATATCTACAACTCTTACCAAGACGTCAGCCCTTTGAAAAGCATTCTGGGCATAAAACCAGTACAATTTTTTTTATTTGTCAGATTGCGATTTGGATGGAGTTTGGCGACAATTGATTCAGACATATAAGACAAATTTCCGGCCAAAATGGGCAAATCACGACTACGAGCTTCAATTTGACAGATAAAAGCAAGCGATTTGTACCTGTTCTGCCTTTAAACCTCTAGTATGATCCCTTAAGAATATTTTAAGTACCAACACGACCAAATCGAGTGATGTTTTCACATATTTCTGGCCTCATATTCGATTTCACCTCCCAAAAAATCGACTTTTGACCAAAAAATCCTTAAGTATAGGCTTTTTAGGGATGGTGTCTTTGTGCAATGTTATTTTTTCTCGAAAATATGGGGAGTCTTCGCAGACAAAAACTCTCAAAATTGACTTTATAAGGTACTTCTCGAAAAAAAAGTTATGTTTTTCATGCATTTTGCTATAAAAATATCATTTTTTGTTCGGGACGTCTTGGTAAGAGTTGTAGATATTGACAAGCCAAACAACACCCTATCATTGGTTTTTACCAAAAATTGGCTGGAATAATGGAATCGGTCGAAATGTTGCGATCTAAAATGGCTTCCGAAATCGCTGTCATGAAAATTTTGATATGGGATTTGGCACGGAATTTTATATGGTACCCATATGGTTATTTGGGCCAAACCTATTTTTTTGAGGTATATTTTTCGAAACTGGACGGCACTTTTTTTTGCGACCAACTGTTTTTTGGGACCAGTCACAAAGCACATGCTCTTTGCCATTTTGCAGCATGATTCGAAATTAGAATGGCGCAATGGTTGCGGCAGAGACAAGAGAAAGAGATATTTGTTGCTGTTGTTGTTCCAATGAGCAATTTAATGGCCAGATAGCAACAACAACAAAAATCGATTGGGAACACATTTTGCGCTGGATTTTTTAAGCGACACAGGTTTTTGACGACGACGACATAGCACCGTATGACATGCTCTTATCGTATCTGTGGTGCTCCTCTTCATTCACGATTTGGTTATTGTGATTTTCGCTTTGTTTCGTTTGCCTCCGCGTCTATATATCTTGATTAGATTGACGGTGAGCGTATAATTCGACAATTGTGTGTACGTGCCGCCGTGCTGTGCATTGTTTTGATTCATCAATATAATTGTGATTAGAGTCGGTGTTTTCATTCTACTGGTGAACGCCATGCGCTGTAGCGCCAATTCACTTTATTTGGATATTTAGCACTGAGAGAGTTTAACACGGCTGATTGTGGTGCTGCTACTGTTGTTGTTGTGTTTTTCTTCTATTTCTCGTTTCGTTTCGCGTTTTTTTTTATTATTGTGTTTTCTGTTTCACGAGCCGAGAGCGATCAAACCGCTTTCCAGCTCAACTTGATGCCAACTATAATTTTATTCAGTCACGAGTGAGAGCAAAATTTATTATTTATATATCAATTTTTTTTTGTTGCTTTGTTTTCGATTGAAATTTTATTTTCTATATAAAATTCTATGAACTCAGCCGTGAAATAAAGCCCGTTTTATATAAATACATATGTATCAAACGGAGTTTTTGGAAAGCGATAAAAAACAGCACACGCATACTTTGCACATGAAATAATTACGTGCGTTTTAATCAAAACACAAATAGCAAACCAAATTTTCAGCAATAAAGTGATTAGTTTCTTATATTTGTCACAAACTTTATAGCCATTTTTAATGAGCCGTTTAACCGGTGTAGTTGATCTATTTCTGTTCGCCCTCAACAACAAAAGAAAAAAATTATAATAATTGTACACGTGCATCAGAAGCTATTATATTATATCTGATAACACTGTCATAACGAAATTGACCGTCAATCCGACTGACTAATGTTGGTAAAATCCACGAAATTCCCTAGCAGGGGGAACAAAGTGAAAATGAATTGAGTACCTAACGAAGAAAAAAAAAACAAAAATTCATGGTGTTGAAGATCGGCATTCACATTAACTTGTACGGGGAAAAAAAGAATGCAACAGGAGATAAAGCCGCGTGTTTCAAGCGCAGTTCGATTATACAATCAAGTGCCAACGATCCAATTTTTTTTTGTTTGCTTTTGCTTAACGCTAAAAAGGCGATAATTAACCACTTCATTATTGCACATCGTGTAGCAGTCTTTTTTTGTCTTTGAAATTTCAACAATTGCTTAATTGAATCAATCGTTATTTTTGCCTCTGCTTCTTGAATCAGGTGTCGAAGTGTGTTCGTTATTTTTTTCTTTCAATGGATCCACTAGAAACATGTATAAAACGACTTTTTTTCTTGGAGTTTTTTTTTCGATCAATCTGATGGGGTTTCACATTCTTCTTCTATTTTTTTCCCTACTGATGTTTATTATGGTTTTTTTTGTTCGTATATTCACAGATATTACCTGTTTGGAATGGCTCCATTTCATGCGACCTGTTAAGATTGTTGATTGAGGTGTTTGTTGCTGAATTTTATTGGCAACTCATAAAAGAACCGTACAATTCGTATGGGATTTATATTTTCTCCTAATTTGAACATAAATCGCTTTCGCGGTGGGAACTTAATCGCACCATAATTTTTCCTATTAAACTATATAAAACACCTTTTCCGAACGTGCTACGGCCAATTAGTGTGTGCGAGAGAAAGAGTGAGTGTACACCAGTTCTAAAGTGCAAGTGGAAAAGAGAGAAAAACAGATTTCCAGCGAAATACAGTGCTATTTCACATTTGATGGTGTGTGTGTGTGTCTTTATTTAATTCCATATTGTGGTTTAGGTGCATAAGATCATAGTCATAAATTTTGTTGCCGTAAAATATCGTGTTTAAGTACGCTTCGTGTGTGATAAATCAGTTTGACGGGAAATTGAAGGACATTGGCATCTCAACCGATCATTATCAACGAATTGAGTATCCATTATGCAGGATGAAGACTTGTTTAACGGTGTCATCGGGAAATACACAGACCACAACGATGAAAATGGCGCTACAAAGAAAAATAATGACTTGGAAATTGCAAAAGCCACCGTTCCAAAGCCACGTAAGTGAATAAAAGTAATAAAAAAAAATTATATGTATGCCCAAGACGAACATGAACCATTGACATTTGTATTATGGCCAGAGTAAATTTTGATGTCGAATTAAGAGTAATGTGTATTGCTCAGATCGATATGAATTCCCTAGGTCAGACGAAATATTCCATCATCTTATATTCGAAATGATAGAATTTTTTGAATTAGAAAATCAAACCAAGTAGCCAAAAAGTTTGAGCAAAGAAAATTCATGAACATTTGTCTTATATTTCAAATTGTTTAGCTGGATTGGGCGTTCGACATTTGCAGATAGTATTGATGTTCAGTGGCCTCTTTACGTCATATGCTTTACGAACTAATATATCGGTCGGTATTGTGGCCATGGTGAATAGTAGTGAAAATGGTGCGGTAAGCTATACTTAATATAAAGTGCACAAACTGAATTGCCGTCGTCATTGTGGCAGTGCGTGCAAGCAACGTGTGTGTGTGCATTCATTCTATTACCTAGATTTGGAATATGTAATATATTAGCTTGATTACAACATTAATCATAATGGTAATAATTGATTTATAGACATATAGTTGGGACAAACAACAGCAAGGATTGATACTGAGTAGTTTTTTCTGGGGCTATCTCTTGGCTCAGATCCCTGTAAGCCAAATGGCCCAGCATTTTGGTGCGAAAATCCTATTGACAATTGCATCGATAGTATGCGGATTGTTGACGCTGGTAACGCCATGGGCCGCATCAATCGATTGGAGACTAATGCTACTCTCACGAGCGCTTCAAGGTCTTTTTCAAGGTTTTTACTATCCATGCGTCCACACATTGTTGGCTAAATGGGTGCATCCGTGTGAACGTGGAACGTTAACCACGTTTACATATTCGGGTACACAAGCGGGCAGTGTTGTAATGCTCGCAACTAGTGGCGTTTTGGCAGATTCTTCAATGGGATGGCCATCAATTTTCTATTTCAGCGGTGGTGCTACACTCATTTGGACCATATTCTGGGTGCTTTTCGGTTCAAGTTCGCCAGACATTTGTACACGTATTTCAATTGAAGAGAGAAAATTCATCGAATCAATGCCTGGTTCATCAAATCATGGCCAAATGAAAACACCATGGTTAAGCATATTGCGATCAACACCAGTGATGGCACTGATTCTAGTGCATGCGGCACAATGTTGGGGTTTCTGGTCGCTACTCACTGAAACACCATCCTATTTGGTGCAAATTTTCAAATTCAATATTAAAACGGTAATGATGATCTCTCTTCGGTTTTTATTTTCTCTTTATAGCATAAACTTGTTTGGCAAGTGGCATTTTTTGTCTCTTTCTTTATCGCTCTTTCGTCTTTTTTTTTTCCTCTATGCGTTTGGAAATAATATTAGAATGCACTTTTGTCGGCTCTACCATATCTAGCGATGTGGTTAGTTAGCTTGGCAGTGAGCCCAATATCCGATTTACTCATCAACCGTGGATACATTGGCGTAGCAACCGGTCGCAAATTGTTTAACTCATTTGGACACTGGGCTCCGGCATTATCACTCATAATTTTACCGTTTTTGAGAGCACCCACACATGCCATTACCATGCTCACCATTGCCATTGGAATGAATGGCTTTACTTATTGTGGATATATGGTTAATCACATGGATTTATCACCAAATTTTGCCGGCTCTTTGATGGGACTGACCAATTCATTGGCAAACATTATGTCTATTTTGGGTCCAATCACCGTTGGTCTCATTCTCACCGACAACGAAGACATCAATGTACGTATTCAAGTATACAGTGGTGGAATACAACACCAGATGATACAAATTCAATTTGCCAATTTCTTCATATTTTGTGTTTTTCCCCTCTTGAATTGTTCATACTTTTGACATCCCTTCCATTTCACTTATGGTTTCAACTTAACCATACCATTTAATAAATATTTGGCTTCTTCTTTTCACCACTTTTAGGTCAAACTTGGCGAATGGAAAATGGTATTCTTCATTGCGGCCGCATTCTATTTCGTTGGAAATTTGATATTTGTGATACTTGGCAAAGCTGAAATTCAACCATGGAATGAGATTGAAAAACCACCAAGTCCAGCTGAATCGGATGAAGATAGACTTGGTGAGGTTCCAATGCTCACGGAAATTTGAGATTTCAATATTGATACGCCAACCAATCAGAACGGCAGAACATCAAAACCGATACACCAATGGAGTGAAGAAAAACAAAATGATTTGATAACCACAATCGAGAGAATCACATAGATAATCGAACTAAACGCGTACACTCAAAGTGAATAGCATACAAGAAAGAAAAAAGTTGAGAATCAAATAAATAAACGTCGGAGAGTGTGGGGGGACATGTATTTTATGAATAGTAAACATATTTACCTTTATGATTATTAGGTTTTTACCCTGATGTTTATTTGTTTAGATTTTAGTGCTTGCTTGCTTGCATAACACATTTGTTTTCATAGCATTTTTGCTTACTTTGTCATTGTGTTACAAGATTGTCTATCTTGTTGGTGTATGTGTTTTTTTTGCCTATTGCGATCGATAGTAAAAATACTGCGTTCTGATCATAAACGTATATCAAATGGTGCACGATACAAAAATTTTACTAACGTTTTTTATCATTCGTTTGTAGGTTCTAATATAAACATCGTCACAATCAACTCTAATGTGAACATTGTCACCAACCAATCACCAAAGCACTCGTAACGGAAACCAAAAATTATCGTTTAAGTATTTTGTAGTGTAGCAAACAAAAAAAAATACTGTCTACCAAAATGAATAAGTTTGTTTGTACAAATGTTTTTCAAGTATAAGTGCGTTTCAAATGAATGTGTTTTTTAGATAAATATTTTACATTGAATTGTGTGTTTGATACGAATAAAAAAAGAGAGCTCGTGAAAAAAAAATCTTTCATTCATGTAAAAACCAAAAATCATCGAAGAAAAATATTTTTTGATTACATTCGATTGTAATTTATTGCATTCTCTGTTCCAATTGCGAAAATGGCATATCCAATTAAAATCAAAACTAATTCCCCAACACTCATCAAATTCATTACGATAGATTTGTTATGTGGGAATCGCCTCGTGGCGCTATTTGCTCTTGCTTGTTGTTTATTCATTTCAAGTTGAATTGATTTCGATATCAAAAGTAAGCATATTCACATCGACAGGTAAATTTCGAGTGAACCTCTATTATTCAATGGCATAAGTATCACCTGATAAATATTTCTGTAATAATAAGAATTGAACAAAAAAAACAAATCTTAACACAATAAAACACTTGAGGTGACAGAGAGAGAGAGAGAGAGAGAGAGAGAGAGAGATCAACTGGAATGAATGTTCAAAGCGTATGCAAAATTCCGTTGGCATAAAATCTCTTGGCTCGCTTTATCTACACATTTTCAAATGTCAGTCAAATATAATAAATGCGAGTTTGTTAGTGTGATAAAAGGCGCTTTACCCAAAGTCGGGGCATTTAGTCAATGCATGAACCCATTCGATCAACACACAAGTACATACGATTTAATGGTGTTGTTGTCATTTGTGATTTGTGCGCAACTAATTTGAATTTACTATTTAACTTGACGTATATGTGTTTATAAATTCTCGAAATTGTGAATTAAATTGAATTTAAATGCAAAAATAATATTAGTAGTACATCAACCGGCTAGTGCAAAATTGGTTTCGATCGAGTGATGTTTGTTCGTAAATCATTTATGACTGCAGTTAATATTCAGCAAGTATTGCCAGAGTCGATGAAATCAAACACATGAATGGCCTGTTATTTGATAAGTTTATTGAACAATACGCCGTATGTGGCTGTTGGATGTGTTGTGGATCTTCCATATGAATCTCGGTAGCGGTTAAAATAAATACAAATCGATTTGTGAATAAACAAGATGAAATGTTTATTGTTCCATGCTCTCTCTCTCTCTCTCTCTCTCTCTCTCACACACACACACACACACACACGCACATTCCCTGGTTGCCATCTTACCGATTACGAAATAGCTCGAATTGAATTTCTATTACCATTTCATATGTAGAATTTAAATAAATTTAATATTGATGTTGTGATTAAAGCTACGTTGCCGTGTGTATGTACAAATTGAAGCGAAACAAAGGAAATTTTAGATGCATCACTAGCTTTCGACAAGCATTTGTTGCCGAAGCATAACACTATACATTGCGCATGTAAACATAAGTTTCATGTAATTAATTCCCTTGATGATATGCCGTAAAGGCACATATAAGTGTATACACACACACGCGCACAAATTTTAGCTGAAACTTGGAACATTTGAAATACCACAATCGAATTTCCGGACCTCGTTATCACCTTTCCTCTTCATTTCCCATTCGCTCGAGACGAAAATCTCATTTTATTGAAACATTTTATTTCAACTTACGATACTCTCATCAATTTAGACTAGTTTTTGTTAATATCCTGTGATCGCAGCAACACTCTCGTCTCTCACATCTTACTGCCTGCCGGTCTTCCTCTGTGTATACATACATAATGGTTGAGGAATGAAAAGTCAACAGCCCACTCTTCATTTTTCGCTTCCGGTGTGTGATACGGAATTTCAAAGTAAATAAATAATCACCTAACAGCGGTGTTAGCAACACATCGTTACTCAAAGTCATTGTTGATGGAAATACTGAAGTGAAAAAAGTGAGTCTTTTTCCTCTTCTATCCATCTATCTACCTCTCTCTCTCTCTCTCCCACTCTCTCTGACAAAATATTTCCTATAACAAAGTTTTTGATTCTCATTGACAATGTGTACCTGAATCGATTTGTGATTTATGCTGGAGGCGATGATACTTTGAAAAGTTTGTATGTTACAAAAAGTCTCGGTAAAAGCGAAGAAGAAGAAGAAGCCACACCAGCAGGAAACCTAATGACGATGAAAATTGTGCCTGCCTAACGCAATCATGTTTTGCAGTGGATTCGTAGAAGCAAAGAAAAGTGAAACTGTCAAAAACTTTATCGGCCGTGAAAGGTAAGCACCAAGGGGCAAATCACAACTGAAAAGACTGAAAGCACTAAAATTCACTGAAAACCACTGAAAAGTACTGAATTCAATTTTTCAGTAGTAATTCGCCCCTTGGTAACCTACTTCGGCCAATGTGTCACAGAAATATAGGTGAACTTGATCAAAATGAGTGATACCTTGTAGAGATGTCACTTTGCAATGCGTTCATTACTCTTTTTGTGCTTCGGAAAACAATATTTTTTTCGTTTCTCTTTAAAGCTTGTCGTAAAAACGAAATTTTAATTTCTAATTCTACTTTAAGTTGCCATTTTTCATTGAACACACAGGGATTACATAGAAGTACAGCGAACAATATGTTCGTGGGAAATGCTCAAAAATTATCTGGTATTAGAGCAAATGTGCTATTATGGTTATGGTGGCTCAATAATGTATTAACCAAAGAATGAGATGAACAAGTAGTGAAGCGAGACAGAGAGAGAAAATAAAGGTGGGTATTCTCTTTACCAACACAATTTCCTTGAAATATGCGCCCGTTCTTCGAAAGCTTTGACTTTCACCGTTGTCGTGTGTCTGTACAGCGCGCCCTTTTTTTTCCTTTTTATCACCGGAAAACATTCAATTTTTATGCAATCAATAATCAACGTGGAACATCGTTGAGCACACTTCTTTTCATGGAATAGACTTGTATACTTATTATGATATGCCAACCTACATTTAAGCTGGCGAAAAAACGAACGCTCCAAGAAGCGTACACCAAATCTCTCTGGCTCTCTCTCTCTCTCTATCACGCACACTCGAAGATTCGACGAAAAGGAAATTGCCGGATAAGAATCCATGTAACTATTTAAACATCGTATGTTCGAAGTGACTTGAAATGCGTTTAGCAAAATGTGCACGGCACAAAATGAAACAATGTGCAAAAAAGCGACAGGCATGAGTGGAAGATAGCGAAAGAGCGAGAGGAAACAGAGAAAAATAGAGAAAGAGAGTGAATCGGACCAGAATCGAACCAATGCCAGCCAGCACCAACAAAATGAAACGAAACAGCACGGTGTGTGTATGTGTGTACACATGCACTTAATGCATAAAGCAAATACGATAGAGAATTTAACGCTGTGCTTCCGGATATAAATTGTTTTGAAAACAGGATGAACAACGGAAATGCCTTTTACAGAGTTTTGCGGTTTACTTTCGTTCTACTGATTTCTTCATATATATTTTTTTTCTTGCTCGTTCGCTCATCCATTCGTTGCCTTTCGCACGGAAGTTATTGCTGTTATTGATGTTTTTTCTCTCTCTCTCGATCTAATTCAAAGTGAATTTGTTGTTATTGTTGTAGTGTGTGTGATAATGTGCAAGCGCCAGTTCATTCGTCTTGATTATGTGAGGCTTGCTGTTGGCCAAACACATAATTTCCGGAGCACAAGAAGGCAGTCAAATCAAATTTTTATTCTCAGTCTATACCACGTGACCCTGTACCCTGTCCACCATGCGATATTTATCTTAGAAACGTATAACAAGCGTTGCAAGCAAGTGCGCGCCCGCCAAAACTATCCGATTGAGGGCAGCACGCCAAGTTCAACATGTGCCCAAAATGCGACTCTCTCATAAATCTCATTGCTTTTCACTTGAAGTTGGATTTTTCAATTTCATGCATGGCAGTTACCCATTCTCGGGCGAAATCCGTTTCATCGAAACCAACAGTGTGGATGGTATAAAGTGTGCACTAGGGTGTTTTCGGTATTAAATAAACAGAAAATGGTAGTTTTAGTTTGATAGAGCAGAGAATTTGGATTCGATTTCATATATTTTTGTTCGGAATCAGTCCAAGATGCCACTTCCCACAAGCAAAACAAATGTTCGTCGAATTTTGAGGTTATATCACTATTCGCTGAAACTAATCTGATATTTTCCACTTTTTTCGATTCAATCTCACTGCCAGAGATGAATTCTCAATGCAAATATTTATTTTCACGTAATTTTCATTGGAAAAAGTAGCCAAATAGTCGAAAATTCAGACAAATTGTATTGCCTCTTTGACCGGTTCTTCAATCATAGAAAAAACACCGAAAAACTAATTTTTTTCACAGAAATTCATTCAATGGGTTTGAAATAGACGATAAATTATCTAAAACCACTAAAATATCCAATCGAACAAAACCAGGAAGGCCAAATTGCAGCAAAACCAAAACGTAAACAAAAACGAGCTGTCATCATGAAATCTGGGCTTAGTTTGATGTTTGACAAGACCAAAATACATCTGCGCGAATCACTGTGTGCGAATTGACTGTGATTCATTCGAACAAGTGCATTGGTAGCCCTTCAAAATGTCAAAGAAGTCCAGATTTCATGATGACAGCTCGTTTTTGTTTACGTTTTGGTTTTGCTGCAATTTGGCCTTCCTGGTTTTGTTCGATTGGATACTTTAGTGGATTTAGATAATTTATCGTCTATTTCAAACCCATTGAATGAATTTCTGTGAAAAAAATGAGTTTTTCGGTGTTATTTCTATGATTGAAGAACCGGTCGAAGAGGCAATACAATTTGTGTGAATTTTCGACTATTTGGCTACTTTTTCCAATGAAAATTACGTGAAAATAAATATTTGCATTGAGAATTCATCTCTGGCAGTGAGATTGAATCGAAAAAAGTGGAAAATATCAGATTAGTTTCAGCGAATAGTGATATAACCTCAAAATTCGACGAACATTTGTTTTGCTTGTGGGAAGTGGCATCTTGGACTGATTCCGAACAAAAATATATGAAATCGAATCCAAATTCTCTGCTCTATCAAACTAAAACTACTATTTTCTGTTTATTTAATACCGAAAACACCCTAGTGTGCACTGTGCACTGTGCACACAGTATAAGCATATATCCGAGAATCTTCTGCTCATTCTTTTGTAGAACATTTTATTTATTCGTTTATATTAAATTTTCCAGCATCTCTGCCGTGTGCTTTTATCAACAGAAAATACCATGAGTTTCTTCTTCAAAAAGTGGAGAAGCGGAGAGTGTGAGAGAGAAAAGATTCCATATTTCTTTAGCAAATTGCTTCAAAATCATTCAAGAAAGATTGGATCATAAAGCATTTTTTTTTATTGTTTGCGCTCTGTGCAGCAGTGAGTAGATATGGCTTGCTAGAGATTCTTTATGTTTGGATACTTATTTAAATGAAATTCAACTAAGTAGCATCTTATGATCGAAAAAGAAGAAAAAACCAAGTACTATTCAAATGCACTCGATTATTTAACACATAGTATCATTATTATGATGGCTCAGTCCCTACTACATCGTCATTGAGTAGTGCTTCAGATTTGACTTTTTAAAGAATGAAAAAGAAAAAAAAAACGTCGACCGAAAAAGAAGCCGAGTGAACGAGGGGGAGAGAAACGTAGAATTTAATAAAAAAAAAGTTTCTCTCTAAATACGACATCATTTCATTTCCTTTTCACAAAGTTTCGATGCTCTGAAATGACACGAGAATGAAATTGAATGTTGAAGATCAACCCAAATATGTCCCGGTTTCGTTTTCTTCCTCACTTCCTCTCTCCACTTAGAGTTGTCTCCATTTTCTCTTGTGATTCTTCTTTCTTTCTCTCTCTCTCTCTGTCTGCCTCACCCTGTCACTCTTTCTCCAAAGGTCCTGTAAAATTTTATGCACATGCCATTTGCAAGCGGAACGTGCTGCAAGTTGTACATTGAAACTTATAACTTAGTAAGCGGTTAGATTTCTCAAGTTTATTCAATTTATTTCGATTGAGCAAAACGAAAATATTTGTAAGACAAACAGTTCCGAATGCGTAGTAATTTATCCAACGTTCTGTCATCACTCTTGCACAGAACAACAAGAAGCAGAGCATCGAATGCATTTCGATTTGTCAATTTTAAAAGCATTTCAACCACACTGCTGTCTGCATAATAAATTTATGTTTTGATACAGTTGTACGGAATTTCAAGATAAACCCGAAAAATCCGGAGTTTGACAGATGCGCAGGACATAAAAAATAGCGACTTAAAAATAAATTCGATGGAAAATTGACTGTATTATCACTTGAATGTGATGTGTGAAAATGTTGATGTTTTGGCATGCGACATCATCAAACGGCGTTTATTAATGTTGAGCTTTGCAGTGAACTTCAGTATTCTTGGTCGTGTTTCATTTGTTTTTTTTTAGGAGGCGAATAACCCACGAACGCAAACGCCCTTATGTTGCACAAACTACAGACAGTCACGCAGATATATCAAACAGGCCTATCTACAGCTCTGTGTTTGTGCCCCTGTTATATATTCAAAAGAATTTTAATTGAATATTCCGAGCCTCTTGGCCCGAATTTGATGACATCGTTTCGACGACATGATGTGGTAAACGATTAAGAAGCACGTTTCATTTCATTTTAAAGAGAAAACGAGTCGGTTTCCTCTTTTGCATGCAAAATTTTTTCATCGATTTTTTTTGCCAGCAGCTTGGTCATATCGAATGGAGTCCTAATACATATATTATGTGTGTGTGTGTTTTTTTTTCTATCTATTATATGGATGAAAGTCACTCACCTGTACGGTTTTCTTGCGTCCTTTGATACAATCTGGATCGTTGGCTGTGTCAGCATCAATGACATTTCGTAGTGCTGTGAAGAGCATACTTTTAAATTCGGTCAAATATTCATCATGGCTCACACACTCCGGATCAATATCGACTGGATCACCATTTATGCTGGAAACATGTTTCCCAAACAAATTGCGGAGACGCAAAAAAAAGAGGAGCGTGCGCGCGCGCGATATAACATATGAGCACGACATCAATAAAAACCATATGTGCGCGTTCACCGTCAAATGTTGTTTCGGTCATAAGGTTCCAAGTATCCACACAATGCGTCGGTAGTTTTCAAAGTGTTCCCCCAAATCGGTCGGAATGGATGCGAAAAAAAATGCGACATTCAATAAAAGAAAATCGTGTTGCAGTCAAAGGAATAAAAAAAAAAACAAACAAACGACAAGTCAGAAAAAAAATGTCTCTTTCAAGAGAGTTTATATATAATTTTGTAGAAAATCTTTTGAATTGTTTGTGTGTGCGGTGGTGGTGGAACCGACTGAAATGAATGTGAGCACGTATGGACATCATTTGTTTCCATAATTTGCTTGCAGCGCCAAATAAAAATCTCATAAGTAACAGTTGAGCATGTGTTGTGATGATAGTATGTACACGTCCATGGCTTTGAAATAATTGTTTCGCTTGGTATTTTCGTTTGCTTTGTCCGTTTCGATTGCATTGTGTGCGTGAAAACGCGTTTGGCGAAAGTTCACACGGGAAAAACACGGGCCTTAGACGTGCAGTCGTGCAACTGGTGCGAAAACAGGTTGTACAGAACAAAAAAAAAGATTCATTCATTTCAGACGTGTTTCTAAGCGCTTCGCGAAATAAGCGCCTTGCAACTGTCCATTCTCAGTGAATTATGCCACGTCACATACAGATTACGGATGCGCGCAGAAGAGCAAGTTTAAAATGCGTGTTTGCCATCACCGTGCGCTCCTGCTCAAGATAATGCGATAAAAATGAAACACAAGCAGAAAAAAATGCACGCAAACAATGGCACGGCTGAATGAAAAAAAGCGTAAAAGAAGCGTAGAAGCGAAAATTGTTGATTGTGCAGGCAAAACGCGTCTGTGGAAAAGCACATCACCGACAAATAAATGGGACGTTGAAGCGCAGGGACAGAGCAAAAAATGGTTGATTTGCATTATGTGTGCAGAGAAAAAAAACGTTTTTGTACAGGGAGCGTTCATTCAATTATTGAAGAATTTATCTTTAGTGTGTTTGCGCTTCGGGTGACGCTTATCGCAAAACTGTGTGCAACTGCAACGTAGATAATATTTTCAACGTGGAATCGCTCTCTCTCTCTCTCTCTCTCTCTCTCTCTCTCTCTCTCTCTTTCGTGTTTTTTTGTGCTGACCATGGAAAATCATTTTATATGTTACGGTCGCTGGCAAATGACACTGTGATACTAATTGATTTAAATACGCAAATGAAAATGGGTTCGAGAGCGAGAGAATGCCATTAGCCATAACGGTTCAAAGCAGCGAAGACACATCACATTATCCCCCAAATACATACACACACACATACACTTTGTAGCGGTGGTGAGTGTGCTAATGCACCATTTGCCCAATTGGATAATTTGCAATTTATGTTTTATTTTTATTAAATTTAGATTAATCACTTGATAAAGGCAATGAAACGAACGACCCCAAAAAAGCATGGAAATTTTTGATATTGCCAGAATACACACACTCACAATTTTGTGTCCGTGTCTAAAGCAAACGCATTTTGCGTCCAACACTTTTGCCACTTTACCATTGATATCAATTAGATCGAGTGCGATTTACAAGAAATCCCTTGGAATGACTTGAATTGGAAACGGAAAAATTGGTGGGAAAATTACAACGCTATGGAAATATACCAATGTTCCATGCTTCCGTCCAACGAAATCGATGCGCACACACACTCAGAGAACACGAAGCAATTTAACCCTCTAATGCATTAATTTTTCCCAGGGCTGGGAGTACTGGTACTTGGTTGATTTTTGGCCATAGATAACACTGTGCAACAATTTTAAAGACAAGTCAAAGGGCCAAGACTTGGTATGGTGGAGATGTTAGTACTACCATAGCTGAGTAAAACCCCAACTGGGTTTTGAAAGTTTAGTAGGGGTTTTTATTTTATCGACCTAGGCAGTTTTTGAGATTCAGTGGATTTTCCAGAGTTGACTTCATCAGTTTTTGGTCAATAACTCATCTAGTATTGGTGATAGCATGTTACTGTCTTGAGCAAAGTTGTAGCCAAAGGTCCAATAAACAAGTTTTCTTAACAAACTTTACCAAAAAAATCACATTTGGTGGGTGCAAGTGGGCTAAATGTCCAAAAAAAAGGTAGATTTTTCCAGGTTTTCGACCATAACTTACGAGGAATACATTTTTTTTACTCACTTTCTTCGTCAAAATCATAGCCAAAGAAAAATTAAACAACTCTCTAGAGCACATGAACTCGAAAAAGCCACATCCAGTCCACTTTATTGGCTGAACTAAAATAGTACTAAAAATGTACTAAAATGTACTAAATTGCCTAAA